TATATTGTTTGCATTCATTTCTAGTTAGCTTTAGAGGAGTAAGATAAAGTGTCGATATTCATTTTCGTTCACTTCTTGTTTTTTACGAGAAAATTCGATTTGAAGTTGCCTTTTTCCCGCTTTTGGGGCTGTAAGACCGTCGGCTCGAAATAGGTCAGCAGCGGTTGTTTATGACGTCAGTGGTGGGGAACCAACTTAAGAAAAAAAACTGTTACTATTTCATTTTCGTAGTGAATCCCCATTACAAGTCACACAACTTCGATAATTCCATAACCAAACCAAATTTCTGTAGGAGTAGTACGGGTTTATTATCTTTCTTCCCCACCAGTGACGTAAGAACGAGCTAAAATGACCGCTGACATCGCTTTTCTGAGCCGCCGTACTACGAGGCCAAAATACCACTTTAAAATATTTTTCCGAGGCGAAGTTGGGCCCAAAGACTGAAAAAAAAAACCCTCGAACATAGCTATTTGAACTATAAGCTGCAATTTAAGAATGGTTCATTTTTAGGCTTCAGTTCCCCATTAAATAACCAATAATATAAGATCAACAGTTATAACCTAATGAAGGATTACAAATGTGCGAGTTGAAAGACAGGTTACCTAAATTTCCTCTGCAGCTGTCGATCAGAGAACATCACTTCATCGAAGAAGTCTTCGTCATCCTTATCGTCTACTGATGGGTCATCCTTAAAAGTCTTCTCATTTTCCCACGGCCATCGTAAGGTCTTCAGGCGCTGTTCAGCTCTGATATGAGATCGTTCGTGAGCATTTAAAACATGGCTGTACATGTCCTCACGACTGGGGAAGAAAATGGCGATGAAACGCAAATGAATTAGTCATATTAGACAACTTTTGCTTCAAGACCAAAACTTCCACTTAAGAGTTTTTAGCCTAGCGTACCTTTCTTCTTCCACAGATAATTCTTGGTCAGTTTTCTCGGAGGCCAGTTTTTCTCGTTCATCAGAGCTCAGGGCACATTGCGCTACACATACACGAGAACCAGTGGTAACAGATCCATCAACTTGAAGGACGAAGTCTGCAAAAGCCAAAGACCAGCGGGTAATAAGATACCAGACCAGGTGTCGTCCACTTAATTTTACACAAGAACTCTTAAAGGAACTGGTAATTTTATTTGTAATTTAAATGAGTAAAACTATAAAATTACAAAGAGACTCTAGCAAGCAACCACCACCACACCCCACACCCCCCCACGGAGGAGGGGGTGAAAAAGCTTGAAATGGTACGGGCGTATTTGTAACAAACAAATGAAATACGACGCCTGCGTTTAAAACTAACCGAGTAACGGGTCATTGGTTATCGCCTAGAGCGAGGGGGATGATAAAATTTACCCGATCCCCTCATAAGGGTCAGTAAAATATCCCCCACAAACGGCAGTCAATTTCCTAAAGTCCCCCTGAACCCCCCCCCCGTTCCCCCTAAAAACCATGTCACCATGTGACTATGTGATCACCCCAAAATCCTCGTTTCCCCTCTCCCCCCGCCTGAGCGAATAAATAACGACTGGTCCCTAAGAAAAGCAAGTATACCTGAAGGTTCCCTCAAGGCACAGAACTGCCTAATGTGAGAGATATCAGCTGCCAGGTTTGCTAGCACTGCTCTTCTTTGTTGCTCAGAGTAAGACAGCTGTGGATCGTTCCAGGGTTCGCCGCATGTGACGTAGACCAGTTGATTCCTCTCCAGCTCTGATAGACTAACAACTTCTTTGCCGTCTTCAGTGTAAAGTCTTCGTGCGGCAAACGGCAAACCAACTGCTTCAGTGCATCTATCAAGGAACTGTTGAGTGGTAGCGACTACGTATCGGTAAATCTGTTTTAACTTGAGTGCAGTGCCGTTGATTATTGTCTGTGGTAAGACCAGCTTATCAAAATGTAAGGGCTATATGAAACTGTGAAATAAAATTCTTTGGAGTTTGGTTTGAACCCTTTTTCAAAGACAAATTTAAAGGACTATTCCAGAACTTTCCAAGGACTCAGACTAGTTTTTCCAGGGCATCAAATTTTACTTTAAATCCTTTCCTTCTAAAGATTTCAAAACCAGTTCTCCTTACGTTCTACATACATTTCTTATAACGTAAATACTGAAAACTTTATTGCTTGAGTTAAACAGATTTCCAGGACTTTCCAGGTCCTGTAGTCTTTTTCCAGGACTTTCCAGCCCTGGAAAATGTCATGAAATTCTAGGGCTTTCCGGTTTTCCAGGACCCGTAAGAACTCTGAGATTAGTGTCGCCCAATAAATAAAAACAATTTAAGGTGGCTCTGACCATTCACACGTCTTTTTTCTTCAACTTCCGAAAAAAGTTACTTTAGTATGGTCAAGCTGGCCATACTAGCAAAAACATTGGAGTCACCAAGCTCGTGGGAAATCAAGTAAGACACTGGTGGAAAAGCGCCACTCTTTGTCTTGTCTAAATAAGGACATCATGAAAAGCTTTGGCAGTATTAGCTTGTTTGGTCTGACGACTGAGTCTGAGATTTTCATCAAGACTGGAACAACATTGCAGTAAATCCTGATTTAAATAATCTATAAGACATACCAGATCTAGCTCAAGTCGTTTGTGATCAAGTGGATGACAAGAACCAGCTAAGTCTTCACCAGAATGTTCATGTTTGCCCAAAGTAGCTCTCCTGAAACACAGACACGTATTTATGGGATTTATTGAAATAGCAATAGCTGTTTAACCCTAAAGGAGAGCTCAACAAGAACAGAGTAATCCGGACAAAAACAAGCTACACATGGACTCCAGATTACATGTTAAAGTTTAACATCCCAACAGTGGGACACAAACAACAGTATAGCAAAGTCATTGGCATTTCATAATGATCTTCTCCTTTTCTCAAAAGAAACTCACCTTTTGTGTTTTTTCAAAGGGCTCTTTGGACTTGTGCCATTGACATCATGTAACATCTGAAAAGAAAAAAAACCAACATGAAAACCTAACACTGGTACCACAATGACTGATGTGGGAGGGGGGGGTGAGGCAACACTTCAACATGCAGATCAAAAAAATTGGACAAAAAGCAGTACTTTATAGATGACAGAATTAAGAAGAATTCAGATGAAGCACAATTTAGTTGAGTACACTGAGGAACAGTCTCACTTTACTCTGTTTTAAGTCAGGTGATATAGCATTGTACTTAGCCCTAATTACACCCTAACATCAGTAATTGCATATTCTCCATACTGTTCTCTATATATTTCCCAAGTACTAACAAGGAGAATTTGCCAAACGATCAAGAGCTACTTTAATAAGTGATCATTTCCTTTATTCTCCTGACCTAACTGTTTGATTCAGGAGTAATATTGTAAGGAGAAATTAGATGCTAATCACTCTTATGGATTAACCCTTTAACTCTCAAGATCTGATTATGAATTCTCCCCTCTAACTGCTAAACATTTCCTTGTAAACTGATGACCAGAATTTGGTGTTCGATCAAGATAACAACTTCTACCTGATAAGTTTGAGTATTCTCACTACCTGTTTGCTGGATCATATATGTATATTATAGGGAGAAGTTACAGGTTAATCACTTCAGTTAGTTCAAGGGTTAAAGAGTTAATTATGAGTGATTGAGAAACTCACATTTGTCAAGTCTGGACCAACAACTATAACAGCTCTGCAGTGATCTGATTCCCCATTTTTCAACACTCGTAATCTGGCTGGGGTTCCTGTGAATATAATAACAATAATAATAATAATAATAAAATATTTATATAGCACCTATCCTTTTCAGTGCTAAGCGCTTTACAATGCTTTAAAAAGGACTAAAATCGTATACCTAATATATATACATAATAACAAAATTACAAAATGGAGAACCTAGGATAGTTCATAAACTTGCTTAAAAAGAAAGGTCTTCAATCTAGATTTGAACTTGTTTACATCATTGATTGATCTAATGTCAATAGGTATATCATTCCAAAGTATAGGAGCAATAACTGAGAAAGCCTTTAAACCATAATGTTTTTAAGTTATACGGTTTGATAATAAGACGCCACTTGTCTCAAGATGAGTGAAGGTACCTCGTGGGTTCATAAACATGAATTAGGTCAACCAAATAAACAGGAGCTAAATTGTTGAGTATCTTAAAACAAATAAGATCAACACGAAGAAAAATAGAAGAATAGACTGAAACACGAAGAGAACTGTTATAACAAACAAATCCTGACATACAATTACCCCTATTAAGAATATTGCTAGGTAATAAGTCAAAGACCAATACTACATACTTAGTTAAATGCAATTAATAGGGCCTCAATTATTTTACTCAAAAATAATATTAACGATTGAAAATAACTTCTGACAGAAAATATGTCACGCATTTATTGTAAAGATGGGAAGAGTCCAAGAAACGACAAATAGTTAGTAATCAGTTAGCACTGAAATAATATATCAGAGGCTAAGTTTAACACAAACATTTACACTGTATATCTCAACTGAGGCAGTTTTAGTGATCATCAAGACAGACACTGGAAATTACTGTTTAGTACTTACGCATATCAGACAAGAATTAGCTTTATTGAAGTGATGAAGCCACACAATATACTGTTTTAAAATGACAGTTGGACATATCTCTCCAGAGTAACACCATAAAGCATAGTCTTTTCTTGTGTAGGGACCACAAAAAATTGCTTGAAGACTGAATATTCAATTTTAAGTTTGGAAATTTCTTAATTTCAATTTGCTTGCTTGTAACATACAGATCAACATATATGCAAAAATCACCAAGTGATTAATAATTTATGTCAGCCTTTAAAAGTCAATATGCCATCAAAGGCACCTGCTAAACAGATGCTTGTAAATTAACTGAACACAAATATTATATTTGGTTCTGTTATTCAATATCCATACAGGTTAAAGACTCATTCAGTAAATATCTAAAGTTACTGTAACAAAAACAGAAATCATTTCACCAAATTCTTCAGGCAAATAATTACTGAGCTTTTTGGCAAAATTTAGGTTTAACTAATGTTAGGGGAAAAATTCAAATTGTTTTTCTCTTTCATGGTCACAAGAAAAATTTACTGAAGGTTTAATTTGCTGATATTAATGAAGATAATTAAACACAAATTCTATATCCATGCCACACTTTCAGAGTAAAATCAAAATTGGTCCATTAACATACATGTAACAAGGTCTTTATAAAATAATAATCTTAAGAAGTTCAGGAGGATTTAAAATATATTTGTTAAATTCATTTGCTTCCATGGGGTCAAAATGCCAATAAACATACACAAAAAAATGAAGGGAGAAAGAGAAAATACTAATCTATTTTCAAGATCCAAGTTGAGTGACACACATACTTAAGCACTGACAAGGAGTTGTCATGTTCATGTTTAATAGCTGTACAAGTTTCCCTCAGGGACATTCTGTAACTATACTTCACTAATGACTTTTCATGGTAAACATGTATGACAAACATTAGGAAGCTGATGTCCTACCTGCTGTGATGACTTTCTTTTGTGTGGCCTTCTTGACTGGTGGAGCAAAAGGTAGCAAGAAACCCTCCATGGGCCAAGTAAAATCCTTTTAGTAGAGCAACATTAACAAAAAGTCAATCAAGTCAAATTGTTTATCTTCAGTGAAACCTCTCTACAGGAGCAACCAAGACAGACTTTCTCCTTACAATATCAATGCAATATCAAGCAGACAAGGTATGAGAATAAAACCAATACTAAATTCTCCAAACTAACATCATAAGAATTGTATGGCAGACAGTAAGGAGAATTCCTAATGACATCTTGGCAGTGACAGGGCAAATCAATTATAACATCTCTATAAAAGCCAAAAAAAATTCATAGTTCATAACAAACAAGCATTTTTTTTAAATTGCAAAAAATTAATATCCTTTTTACTGTTCAACAGCTGAAAGCTCAATCAAGTGGGTAGTTGTATGGTGAAAATCTAAAACAAAAAAAGGGGATAATGTTATCCTTTACATACAGTGTTCCATGTTCCATCCTCATTGACTGGCCAGGAAAGTGCTCTCTTATTCCACTCAGGATTAGAAACAGTTGAATATTTCCACTGACCAATATTGGACAAATCTTCTTGTTTCATGGCCCATCTAAATCATGAGAATAATAAAGAAAAAAATAAACAACAATTCAGTATATAAGTATACCATTGAATTTAGAGTAAAACTACTCTCTATATTAGGCAGAATTGATACTGCATGTGATTTAACTCCATGCTATTGTGGAATACAATGCTATTTTCTTATTGGGCAACTTACCTTTGAGTGCCATCACCATGCTTTTTGGGCAAAAGTACAACTGAGTATTTTTTACCAAGAAACTCATCTTTAAGTTGTCCAAGCCCTGCCTCAGTCTTCTCCTCCGTCCCATCAGATGGAGATGGGCTGAGCTCCATGCTAGCACCCTCTGCGAGGAAAATCTGATCCCCCAGTCCAAATTCATCCATTAAATTTAAATTTTCCAAGCCAGATGATGCCTCTTGCTCTTGAAGGTTGGCATTTGATGGCTTTTTATCTGAATCAATATCTTTAACATCTCGGTCTCCAATATATGTCAACACATGACTTGGTTTTGAGAGGGAGTAGATCTGTCCTGTAGGACTGAATCCCCACTGTTGATTGGGGTCACTAGGATTCCTGGTGTTATTACAAAAAAGGAATAAATTTGAAGATAGTGAAAAACTTTAGGATGACCTTTGAATTCAATCAGTGTCAAAATTAGTTAACACATCATGTTTGAAGAGTTTTATTTAATAATATGTAACGAAAAACAGTCCTGGTTGTACCACACTATAAATCAATTACTAACCCCCTCCCTCCCCTCTCAATTTTGGCCAAAAGTTCATGGAATCATGATACAACATTGTTTTTGGGGGAAGGGGGCATTAGGTTAATTAAACGAGGGCAAAAGAGTTAAAATTGAAGTAATAGGGGGTTGAAGAGAACAGTGTGTCAACAAATTTGTTACGGCTTTGTAATAAATGAAATAGAAAATAAATCATAAAACTGAAACTACCGGTTACTAAAACCCCTTTTCACAATCTTATGTTAAAAGAAATAAATTTCCTTTGACCTACAGGTGAATATCAAGTAAAGCAACAATCCTTGCAGGTGTGCTGGAATTTAAGCAATTGCAGAAAAGAAGCCTGCAAAAATTTACTTTAAGCTTCTATAGGATTCAAACCATGGATCCCAGAAACTAGTTGAGTGGTAATGCCTTTGAGCTTTGAGCCACAGTATGTGAAAGAGGTATTACTTTCAAGTCAAAAAATGAATAGGTGATGTTATAAAGAGTGCCCCTCTGAAGATAACTGTGAGTTGTGCAGTAGTGCACTGAGATTATAGTTTTATAGAGAGCTCTAAGATGAGAGGATAGTTATTGTAATGGTTATTGGTATCGCTGTGTAGTAAGATTATTATGTCAGGCAATAAAGTAGTTGAATTGGTACAAGTTGTATCTTTATCATCAC